TGTAGTAACTGTTAAATGAGAAACTATTTTGTTCTGTAAGCCTTCATCTTAAGTGAGAAGAACAGCACAATTGGAAGGGCGTAGTCAATGTCACTGAACTGTGCATGTAGAAATTTTTAAAATGGTGTATCTTTAGCTATGTGTATTTTCACCAAAGAAAAAAAGGTAGAGAAGTTAGAGGGTTGACACGTCGTGGGGTTGTTAACCAATGTCATAAAACAATATGTGTACTACTGTTTCATGAGAAACTATTCGTTCTGTAAGCCTTCACCTGAAGTACAATAAAAAAAAAGTGTGGCCCATGGGCCTGCAGACTCAGCATCCCTGGGAGAGACTAGAAATGCAGACTCTTAGGCCCTACCCCAGACCTACTGAATCAGAACCTGCATTTTTACAGGATCCCCCATGCTCATTCAACCTTCAGAAGCCCCTGTTTAAATCATACATTAGAGGCAGGTGTTTTAAAATCATTCCAAATTAAAACAAAGAATTTTAGCCAGAAACCAGAGCCATTCGTTGGGATTTAAAACAAACATGAGTCGGAATTAACTTGACAGCAATGGGCAGGTGGTGGTAAGACAAACATGCCGTCTACTGAAATAAAACATATTGATTTGATTACTATTAAAATCTACTTTCATCAGAGAGGAAATGTTTTATAATTCCATAAACATGAACACTTTTAAAAGAAGCAACATATAAGTAACTTAATCATATGCAAAAGTTCCATTAGGGAAAGATGTAAAAATCAGGACTTGAAACCGCCTAACAGAACCAACGGAACCCCTGCTAAGAAACCAGGCCCACTGGATCTTATCACACACAATCCCTTTTGGAGGTACAGCAGCTGGTGGGGAGACTGGGGGTGATCTGGGCCGTTTTCTCTGTAGCTGCTATAGGGTCCAATTCACTCCCAGCATTCGGAAGCTAAAGACCAGGTGTGCCGACAGTATAAACCCCTTGATTCTGCAGATTTTGTTTATCCCTGCTCTTCTTGTCCTTATTTATATGGACTGTAACTGTGAACAGCTTATACAACATCTACCCCTAAGAACAGGTGGGATAACAAGACAAGAGAAAATCAAAGTGGGCATAACCACCACCTGCTGTCGAATTCATTCTGACTCATGGCGACCCCACGTGTGTCAGAGTAGAACTGTGTTCCATAGGGTTTACAATGGCTGGTTTTTGGGGAAGTAGATTGCCAGGCCTTTCTTCCAAAATACCTCTGGGTAGACTCTTACCTCCAACCTTTCAGTTAGCAGTCGAGCATGTTAACTCTTTGTGCCACCCAGAAACTCCAAAGCAGGTACATCATGTCACAATGACACAAAACCAAAGGAAGAACAATGACCGTACCTGGCATTTATGAGCTGAAAGTTTAAAGTGGTCTCACAGAGAGTTCCCTATTTAATTGTTACTGCAAGGACAGAAGGGTAGGAATACTGCTCTGTTTTAAGGATGATAAAAATGAGACCAAAACAAGGGGGGGTGACTTGTCCAAAGACAAACAGCCACTATACTGCCAGGATGCTTCACTGCCTTCATGCTGAAACTCTCGGTTTCTTCTCCAAGATGATCCAAACCATAGAACAAAGCAATGCAGCCCTGGGCTGATGAAGAACTCCTTCCTTGTGGAATATACCTGTTTATGGCATGGATGGGAGGCGGCGGGGCACAGGACAGCCGCGCGCAGGCGTAGTAGTCACCGATAGACTCGATGATGCTGGCGACGACCGCGCTGAGCATGCCAATGACGCCAGCGGCAGAGACGGTGGGCAGGCCCCACTGAACTGAGAAAGGGAAGCAACACCAAGTCCTCATTACTTTTCTGAGAGGGGCATGCACGAGTTACCAAGACGTCAAGAAGGGTCATTCGTTACGTCAGCTGGCTGTCTCCACAGAAGCTTGTGGAGACTCTTTTTATTTTTAAATCTAAATCCTCAATGCACCAGACGCCTGGGAATGGTTACTGAGGCAGATGAAGGTGGCTGTAATGAGGACTAATCTGCTATGTCTCTATTGAAAAAAACAGATTGCTTGGCAGCTGCTTCTCTACCTGCCCCAAAGTCACACTGGGTGTCTACTAAATTACAATTTAACATGGCTTGCTGCTGCGGTGGGAGGGAAAATTGTATGAGAGGGGTTTACAGCCTTGCTTTGCAAAGCCTGATGCAAAATAACGGTGCTCTTGCTCATGGGACAGCAGCAAACGAAAAAGCCATGAAAAATCATTTAAAAAAACAAAACAAAACCAGCTACATTTAAATCTCAACTCTAAGCAAGGTGCAAAGATGGACAAGTGTTCTCTAATGTAACATGATACTTTTTTTAAAGTACACTGTATCATGGAAAATGAAATAGTTTCATTTAAGAAAGCAAAGAGGTCTCATGTAGCCTTATTTGAGTATCTGGATTTACTTGATTCTTCACTCGTTTTTTTTTCCTTTAAAAGTACACCTATTTTGACATTGAAAGCCATAACTCTTATTGAACAAAAATAGCACGAGGAACTTTCATTGTCAGAATGAACAGATAACAGTACCTGTACCTTCTTGCTTTGAACCATTATTTACAACACAGCACTAAATATAAAACACGGTGGGAAAGAGAAAGATAGGTAAAACACACTGTCATGCAAGAGTCAACTTAAAATTAGGACACGTTGAAAGATCTAGTAACAGTGTAATGGCTAAACTTCAAATATAGACAACTCAAGTTACGTCACAAGAGCGCCCAGGTTAGAGTTCAGGAAAAGGTGAAGTCAGTGGCTGTGGCTGGAATGCCCAGGGAAGGGTTCGAGGAGGAGGTGGGGATGGAGCTGCCCCTGGATGGAGGGGGATGGAGAGGAGGAGCTGAGTGGAGAGGGCGTCTTGAGCACGCATCGGCCTGGGCATCAGCAGATGGGCAGGGCCAGGGGCAGAGGGAGAGTGGTGTCAGCAGAAGGGGCCAGCCCCATGGGAGGAAGCAGATGCTCGTGCAGGGGTTGTGGGGGGCAGGTTTATGAATGGCCTGATGAGCCCCAAGAGGGGATTGGCCTTTGTCTCACAGGGAACAGGAAGTAACCGTGGGTTTCGGAAGAGAAAGATGACATGCAAAGCAAGATGAGCAGAGATGTCTGCTTCCTCCCACCAAGGGCTATTTTACCTGGTGGGAGCAGTGGGAGGATTAGGAGGCAGCCCTTTGTCAGAGGTGCAGGCCCCCTACAAGGGCTGGGCAGGCTCTGTGCCCACCAGCAACATGCCAGCTCACCACCTAAGCTTGGCATTGGTTTAAATGGATTTTCTAGTTCAGATGTCTTCCTTATCAAGCATCAATCTGTGTTTTCTAAATAACCTTTTATACTGTTAGCACTGTGGTCACATTTTACTGAGCTGATTTTGTTAAGCGTCCTTTTTATTTTGTTTTGCCATTTACTATTTTCCGTAAATTGCCTTTTATTTTCTCAGTCTCCTTACTCTTATGTAATTTTCCTAACTGTAGTTAATTTTGATATTTGAAATCCTTATTCCATTGATTTCCACATTTTAAATTTATAATTTTAATTTCTGATCCATTTTCCATCACATATTTTTTACTAAATCTTGTGGCTTCCAACTTTTTATCTTAAATCTGTATTTCATCTCTCATTTTAATGTGAACCCTTGTTTTGTTAATTTACAGCAGGGTTTCTCTACCTCAGCACCACTGATACTTTGAACCATAAATCTAAATTTCGCTCCAGCAATCTGTATTTTTATTAACCAACCCAGGTAATTCTTAGCACACTGCACACTGAGAACCACTGCTCTAGCTATCTGAAAACCTGTCTCTGGAGTAAGGCAAATTGCAGAGACTACACAAGTCCACACCCCTTTGGCTCTCAGGTGGCATGTTGTCAAGTGGAGCTTTGGCAATACCCCAGCTTGCAGCAGTAAGGGTGTCCTGGCCTGCGGCTGACGCCACATCCACTAAGCTGTGACTGCTCACATCAGCCCCGTGAGGCCCCTGGGGGAAGTGTCTCTGGTCTCAGTCACATGAACAGCTGCTTCTCCTGACAACCCACTGTGTCCCTGTTTGTGCTCAGAGCCCGCCCCCCCGGTAGCTACGTCCACAAGCAGAGGCCCACCCTGTGCATCTGCACGAGGGCATCCTCCTACCTACCCTCCCGTGCACCGCCTGACTTCCTCATTGATTTACTTTTCATCTCATTTTTTTTCATTGTGATAAAATACACACAACACAAACTGTGCCGTTTTAACCATTTTCAAATGTACAACCCAGGGACGTTAACCTCACTCGTAATGCTGTTCAGCCATTGCCGTGACTTGTTTCCAAAACTTCCACCACCTCAAACAGAATAATCTCATTTTATCTCGAGTTACCTGTTTATGAGCCATCTTAAACCCTTTTTGGGAAAAAGGACAGGGGTACATAAATTCATACTTAGACCACACAATCTGATGAGAATGTTATTTTAGAAAGTCTGAACATTTTAAGTTTTGTAAGCGTGGAACCAGGAGGAACGACTGCCAACATCCCCATCATTCAATACATTTAGAGCAGTCGTTCTTTGACCCAAGCTTAACATTCTCACCCTTTCCCGCTTTTCCTCCTCATCGTTATAAAATGTGAAAACATGATCGCTAAACCAGGGAATAAACTGGCCCAACCTGACAAAACGCTGGCTTCAGTTCTAATAAAACCCAAATGCTGGGAACAGAGTCCTCAAGAGAACAACCAAGCATGTGAGAATCCACTGGGTTCATGCAAGTCACTTTGGGGTTGGGATCTAGGAAGTGGTACACGTGAAACCAGGTGACACTTCATCTGGGGATCTTATTCCTCTCTCCCAAGGGCTACCCAACACTTAAACTACAACTGAAGCTCCACCTTCGGCCCATCTGTGAGTATCAGTTTACCTGACAGCTGTGGCCTACTAAAAGAAAGATTATGGCTCCCCATTAAAAGATTACGTAAATTCCATCATGCTTGAGCAGTTCAGCTTGCTAATCTTCAGGACCCTCCCATTTGAGCCTTTAGCTCTGGTGGCCCGGGTGCCACGCAGCTCTAGACTTGCCTTTCTAAGCAGCTATCTTTAAATGTTGGTCAGCAGAGTTCAACCTTGGCAAGGGACCCCCTCGCCCAGGATTTGATCCTAGCAGAGCCAAAAGAGCCCACTAGTTAGTCTGAGAGGGAAGCTGCTGAGTCTCTGTGTTACTCACCGCCCTCTGGGAAAGGTGGTCCCTTTCCTGTTGTCTAATCCTCTAATGACCAGAATGGTGAGACCTTTAGGAGACATTCTGGGACAAAGAAGACTTTTCATGCTGCAAAGCCTTCGGCCAACTTCCAAGCCCTCTGAGTTGGGCCTTCCTGGTCTGCTAACTACTCTGGTCACCAGAATACTCACATGGGTATGGGACCTTGAACCATGGGGCTACCAGAAGCACGCCCTGCCTGGCGTCCGTGCGAGCGTAGAAGCCGTACTTTGTGCTGTCAGGAGGGAAGACATCCGTCACCGTGAAGATGAAGCAGAGCAGCCAAGACACGAGGATGGCCAGGATTATCTGAAGCGGTCAAGGGGAAAAGCTCAGTCAGGCCAACAGGGCTAGTGGTTACTGGCTAAACACACGCCTTCATGTGGTCTGATCATCCCACAACCCACCACCATCAGTACCGTGCAGAAAAAACAAGCCACGGATTTGCTGACAAGCTGTTCCTTGAAGGGAATCACATTTAAAGAGGGCATCTTTACGCAGTTTATGCATGTAAATTTACTTTAACCATTCCAAAGGCTGGCTGGTAAAATAAGAGTAACAGACACTATGTCACCAGAGACACGTGAAGTCAAATCTCACTTAGTCTCTGGGATGATGTGCCCCTTCGCAGGCACTGCTAAGAGGATGAGCTCCAATTTCAGAATGGGTATCTTTCCAGTTGGGAGTCATGATGGTTCGGGTGGTCATTAGTACCTTGATGATGTCCCCACACAGACACGGCCCCCACTTGAGGGCCTGATTCAAACCCTCCCATCACGTAACACTCTACGTGTGAACTAAAGGCAATTACTGTCAGCTAAAGAGCAGTCGAAAACTCACAGGGAACATTTTGAAAAGCTGTAACTTGTATGCGGTCCATCCTTTCTTGGATTTGTAGATGGGGAGAGGGAATTTAACATTTCTGGCATACTGAGAAAACAGTAATACTAGGAAAATTGTCCTGAGGAGAGAAAGAAAATAAATTAGGTTAAAGGGTGCATGTCTGTGTTTTAAAATAATACTGAAAGTTTCAACAGCAAAACTGTTCATTGGCCTAGAAAGCTGATAGTCCTCTTAAGTGCTATTTGGGAAATCATATCTTTTGAAATACTATTTTGAGGAAGATGTTAGAACTCTTTTACCTAGCATTTTGTAACACTGAAATGAAACTGCAAGATAAATGTTCTGGTTAAATTTTCCTTAACAGATAAGAACTCACTGAGAATGTAGACACTGATGGGTAAAGCTCATGCAATGATAAGGGAAAAGGACAAGATACCAGATATAATACGCTGCACAGAATAATTACAGCTCTGAGAGAAACAAACCAGGAAACCGTGGACACGCAGACACACACACACACACAGACACGCGCACACATGGACACAGGTGACAAGGACATGATCTAAAATGCTCCCAGGGACTAGCTTCGAGTGGTGATATGATCTATGACCGTTTTTCTACTTTGCTGAATTTTCTGGTTTACCTACAACGAGTGTAATTACTTTGAAAAAGCAAAAAGTAAACCTTCCATATTTAAGAAGCCTAGGTACAGCAGAATTCAGTATTAATAACAACATTCCCAGGTGTCTATAGCAGACGTCATGCTCAGGCCTTCACGTGCGTCACCTCAGCCTCCTGCGGGAACATCTACGGTCATCCCCAGATGACAGACAAAGCTTGTCGTCCAAGATCACACAGCCAGCAGTTTGCAGAGGGGGCTGGGCTCGGGGTCTCGCTCTAAAGCCTGAGCTACTTTCTTTGCTGCAGTGGTTGTAGAAGTGGGTGCCTGGACTGAGCTTCCCACTCCCGACCACCCCGGCACTGAGCGCTGGGGGAGGCAGAGGCGGCCGGGGGACTCCCTGCAGCGTGATCTGACATCTCCTCACCTGCCTGGTGCCCTGTGTGGCCACCAGGTGTGGAACTGCTTCCAGCCCCTGGATGGATTTACTCATCACCAAAGTAATCAAGGTGCACAAGCATGTCCAATCACCCAGTCACATGCTAATCATCCACGCAGGCTCCCTCTTCCACTTACAACCTGAGGTATAGTTGGCACAAAGAGTGGGTTCTCAGGCAAAGCTTGGCTTAATTGTTCCTTGGCACAGTTCCAATCGCTGAGATGGGATTATGAGCTCCATTGACAGCTTGTTAAGTGCAGCTTCACTATCACATTGCTAATGAGGTGCACACCGTGGTCTGGCCAGAGAGCTGACGTACGCTCTCCACAGGCCAGCCGCCCACTCAGGCGCTTCAGGGACCTGGTGACCCGTGGTCTCTATCCTGCACAAAGCACTTGGCCAGTACCAAGTCAAGAGGTTAAAAACACACAAAGTGCCCTACTTATTTCATTTCTCTGGAATAGTGGCATTTAACAAAAACCAACAGGACATCAAAGAATACTAAAACTAGAGTATTTTAAACCAAAGACCCACATAAAATCTTCATGTTCAAAAAAAAGGCTACTTATCTCAAAGTGAACACCACAAGATCCAAAAAGCCCAAGTCTGTTATTTTTGTTATCATTATTTCAAGTGACACTTCATCCCCACTGTTAACACCTGGAATGCCATTGTTCAGTTTTTAATGCACATTTAAAAAGGGATGGGGTATATGACATTCTAGAAAAGGCAAAACTATAGTGAACATAAAAAGATGCGAGGCTGCCAGGGAGTCAGGAGGAGAGAGGAAAGGATGAACAGGTGGAGCACAGGAGATTTTAGGGAAGTGAAGTTATTCTATAGAATACTGTAATGGTGGACACATGACATTAGTCATTTGTCAAAATCCGTAGTGTGGTATGACAGAGTGAGTCCTAATACAAACTATGGTCTTTAGTTAATAATAATGCATCAGTATTAATTCATCAATTATAACCAATGTACGACACCAATACAAGATGTTACTAATAGGGGCAACTATATGGGGGAGAGGAGCCATATGGGAACTCTATATACTTTCTGCTCAATTCTTCTGCAAGCCTGTAACTGCTCTAAAAAATAAAGTCTATTAATTATTTAAAAAAAAAAAAAAAAAAAGGAGAGGGGCATATAGAACTCAAGATAAACACCCAGATCTCAGACCTGAATCTGGCAACTCAAATTAGTAAGTGAATTAGGTAGATGAACACTATGTTTTCTTCCTGCTCTAAAACCTGTATACACTTCTATTTTTATCCTCAAATATACCTGTGAGGCAGGCAGGGCAGGCACCCCCATTACAGAGAAGCAGGAGCAGAAAACTAGGGGCACCCTCAATGAGACTGACACAATAGCTGCAACAATGACTCAAATAGACCAATAATCGTGAAGATGGCATGGAAGGGACCAGGCGAGTTCTGTTTATTCTATAGGGTTGCCATAAGTTGAAGTCAACTTATAGGCAACTAACTACAACAACTGGTTATTTGTGTTTCCTTTTTGCTAAATGGCTGCTTAGACTATGGCCTTGGTTCACTACTCTACTGGGAATCTCTCTTTTTAAAATTACTAAAAACCAAAAAACCCAAACCCACTGCTGTCGAGTTGATTCCAACTCACAGTGACCCTGAACAGAGTAGAGCTGCCCCCATAGGGTTTCCAAAGAGCAGCTGGTGGATTTGAACTGCTGACCTTCTGGTTAGCAGCCAGATGCTTAACCACTGTACCATCAAAAAAAAAAAAAAAAAAAAAACCAAACCCATTGCTGTCGAGTTGATTCCGACTCATAGCGGCCCTACAGGACAGAGTAGAACTGCCCTACAGAGTTTCCAAAGAGTGCCTGGTGGATTTGAACTGCCAACCTTTTGGTCAGTAGCTGCAGCTCTTAACCACTATACTACCAGGGTTTCCAACTGCATCACCAGGGCTCCTTAATTAGTGAAAGTCTTTATAAATCAGGGTCATCACCTTTATTGTGGAATTTGTTGTAAATATTTTCCCAGATTAGATTCATAATTTATAGTTTTGCTGGTTTTTCTGTATGAGTTTTAAATGCATAAGTAGTAAAATCTATTAATGTTTTTCTTTCCAATATCTGCTTTAAGAAAGATCTTCCCTGCCTTATGATTAAATAAATATTTTTCGAGGTTTTCTTCTAGTACATTTATGGTTTTATTTTCTATATTTAAGTCTTTAATTCAACTGAAATTGAAGCTACGAACCTAACCTTTTCCCAAATATTTAGTTTTTCCTATACAACTCTTCCAATATCTATTCCTGTCCCAGGACCACAGTTTATTACTTATTAATAAGCTCTGGCATGTATTTTAATTCCTATAAGGACAGGTCACCATTCCTTTCTCACTGACCTTTCTGCTATTGATCCCTATTATTGTATTTGCCTGTCTTATTATGTACTGGCTAGCATATCCAGAGCAATGGTAAATGATACTGGTGATCATAAACATGCCTATCTCAGTTCCTGATTTCAACAGGCAGGCCCAATTTAAGTCTCTTACCATTAAAGAATGAGGCATTTCAAAATCTCATTCATGAAAGATCCTTCTATTCCAACATTACTGGAAGTCTGCATCAGGGATACAGGCTGAATTTGACCAAGTGCATGTCTGGAAAACTGTTATCATGGTTCTAATTAATACAAACTTATTAATAAAAATGAACCATGAACCTACAATGGATTTTATTAATAAATTTTACCAAATTTAATCATTGTTGAAGTCCTGGAACAACGCATATGTGTGTTATTTTACACAGCCCCAGAAAGGAAAATGTTGGTCCACGGTTCTCCCTTTTGTATTAACTCTATATTGGCTGGGACGTTTCCCTTTTTTCTTCGTGTTCTAGAACAGGTGAGACAGTGCAGGAATTCTCTCTTCCTTGACATTTTAATACATTTATTATTTAACCAATTGGGCCCATGGCTTTTTTTAGGGATGAAGTCCTTTGGCAACGTTCTTGACTTTTCCCACAGTCGTGGGTTTGCTCGCACCTCCTGCTCCTTCCCTCTCGTATTCACAACACACTTTCTGGGCACTTACGCTGTAACAGATGTGAAGAGCACAGCTGACTTTCCAAGTATACCAAAGAAGAGTTTTTGAAAACTAAGAAACATGAGAGCAGAAATGAAAAGCTCAACAGGAGTAACAGATAAAGCTGAGGAAAATCAACATATGATACAGGGCAAGTCAGCACAACTGGACTAAACCAAAAGCTAAGAAGTTTCCTGACCTCAACCAAACACTTTGAGGGACAGAGTAGCTGGGGTTGGGGTCTGGGGACCATGGTTTTGGGGGACATCTAGGTCAACTGGCATAACAAAGTTTATTAAGAAAATGTTCTGCATCCCACTTTGGTGAGCGGCATCTGGGGTCTTAAAAGCTTGCGAGCAGCCATCTAAGATGTATCTATTGGTCCCATACCACCTGGAGCAAAGGAGAATGAAGAACACCAAAGACATAAGGAAAATATTAGCCCAAGAGGCAAAAGGGCCACATAAACCAGAGATTCCATCAGCCTGAGATCAGAAGAACTAGATGGTGCCTGGCTACCATCAATGACTGCTCTGACAGGGAACATGACAGGGAATCTCTGACGGAGCAGGAAAAAAGTGTGGAGCAGAACTCAAATTCACATAAAAAGACCAGACTTTATGATCTAACTGAGACTGGAGGAACCTCCGAAGCCATGCCCCCCGAACGCTCTGTTAACACAGAACTAAAACCATTCCTGAAGTCCACTCTTCAGACAAAGATTAGAGTGGACTATAAAACACAAAATAATATGCGTGAAGAGCGTGCTTCTTAGTTCAAGCAGATACATGAGATCAAATGGGCAGCTCCTGTCTGGAGGCAGCATGAGAAGGACGGAAAGGACAGGAACTGGTTGAACGGACACAAGAAACCAGGATGGAAAGGGTGAGTATGCTGTTACATTATAGGGATTGCAACTAATGTCACATAACAATATGTGTATAGATTTTTGTATGAGAAATTGAGCTGTAAATTTTCACCTAAAGCACAATAAAAAAGCTGGGGAAAACACCATGAAATAGAGAAAAAAGACAAAGAGATGGAAAAGCAGAGAGGAAATTAGAGAGAGTCTAAGGGAAGTTCTAGAAAGAGAGAAGGAATGGAGGAAGGAGTCCACGCAATAATCCAGGATCATTCCGAATGCCTGACTTTCTAGTGAGAAAAAGACCCAAGTGCTCAGGCCAAGAGATAAAAACAGACCCCCAACAGGCAGAGGGAGAAGCTTCCAGAATTCTAGCAGCGTCTCACTGGAGTTCCAGGAGAGGATACGGGAGAAGACCTTGAAGAGATAACTAAGCATTTTACAGGACTGAGAATTGACTGGAAGAAAGAGAGAAGCTGGAGACAGTCAGGAAGCGACGGCCGAGGGTAAGGCTTGATGAGAGTGGTGGCAGTGAAGACCTAGAGAGGTGAAGAGAATAAGGATTTATTCTGGAAGTAGAAGAGCGATGGGTTATACGTGGGGAACAAAGGAAAGGGAAGAATCGAGGGCGACTGTGGGGTTTCTGGCTTAAGCAACTGTGTGTGTGGTTGTGCCATTTACTGAAAAAGGAGATAGGAGAAGGAACCTGTTTAGAGAGCAGGAGGGAATCAAATGTTTGGGGCTTTTTTTCCTTTGAACTTTGAAGATGGCTTGGAAGTAGGAAGTAGAGAAGGCAGGTGGGGTACTATGAGTACTATGAGTACGGGGTACATCTGGGCCCACAGGTATGGGCTCCCATTTTAAATGTGGAAGTCACTAGCATAAAAGATGTCTGTTGATGGCGTGGACCAAATGAGACCTCCTAGGCCAAAGTACATGGAGGGCAGTGTACCCGCGGTCAAGTTCTGGGAGCCCCACTATTTAGAGGCGGGCTCTTTTGGAAAACCACTCATTAAGTTTTTCTTTTTTTTTTTTTTTTAACTTAGGGGCAAGGAGCATAGATTTGACTCCTTTTTAAATCCTCCCTCAATCTGTAGTTTATCCCCTCTGTACAGGCATACTTTCTTTTCTCATCTTGATTAGCCTTGCCAGGAGTTTGTCTATGTTGGTTTTTAGCAAAGGACCAAATTTTGGATTTATCACTTCTATTTGTCTCATATTTTCTGTATCTTTATTAACTCTTTCTCCCAGCTTTCATTAGGCTCATTTTTATCCCTGTTTGTCTAGCTTCTGGAGTTAAATTCTTCATGCACATTATGAATTTTCTCAAGAACAACTCTGACCGTTCTGTAAGTATAATCGGCGCTGTTACTGTCATCATTTTCTAAATGATCAGCAATTGAAGTTTCAATTTCCTCTCAAAGAGCTATTTCTAATAGTGTTTTTTAGCTTCTAAGTGGTTTGGGTTTTTGTTCATCCTTTTGTTGTTTGTTTCTAATTTTACTGCACTGTGGTAAATACAAACTTCTACTTTTTTGGAATTGATTGCAATTCACTGAATCAGCAGTCTTCATGCCGTCTATGCACCCATGCTGGGGTGGAGAATGTTTTTTATCAACTTTTGGTGAAATGAGAAAACTAAGAACAATCTTGGATATTTTCACATACATTACTTTAATTTGTAATGATATATGAATTACAACTATGCTATACTTCTGTTTATTTGTACGCCGTGTCCTAATACACAGAGGCACGACTGAGTGCCAAAGGCTAAGCTCCAGTCAGCTCACTTGGGTTTTGAAACCCATCCCGGCCACTTACTAGCTGTGTGACCCTGGGCAAGTAACTGCATCTTTGCACCTCAATTTCTTTAGGTGTTCAATGGGAATAACAGTAGTACTTAACTTACACTACATGCAATGAGTATTACACACAGTAAAGGGCTCAATAAATGCCACTTGTTATTAAATAACTACAGGATATTTCACAAAGTAAAACAGAAACAACTGAAAATCCTCTTAGGTTATCACTTGTTTTAGACATTTTACTAATTCGAAACTAATTTCTTATTTTAGAAATCCTAGAATCTTGGAACCATTTTCCCATGATATGATCAAGTCTTACATATGCCCGAGAGACACGTAAAGGGAATGCAGTTCATACAGAATTCTGGGGCTCTAATAATTAGTCTTACTATTTTATCCAAGTCCTGTATTTCTTTACTAATACAAAAAATAGGCATTACTTAAGGGCGTATATGACCTGTTTGATGGACTAACTAGCCGCCTCTGGCAGGAACCACAGCCTCCTCGTGATACTCAGGACATTGCTTGGCCAAGGGGAACCGAGACACCTTGGATGCCAACAGACCTCTGTGCCATCTCTGTCTCTTGCCAGTCTAGAAGCATTTTTTAATCTCATTTAAAGGATCCAGCTTATCTGTTTTTCAACTCCTGTGAGACTTGGCATGACCCCAAAGGTCTAGAGCTAATGGTGCCAGCATCTTACCCTGCTCCCAAAGTTTGAAGCCTGACAGCCTCCCTTCTTACGCATCACTGCACAGCACTTCCCAACCTCTATGTCAGAAAAACTATTCCCTGGCATGACACAAACAGTCTTACTGAAAAAACAAAATCTCCCAAAGCGAGAGTGAACACACACGAGAATGTCCAGAGAGGCTGCCCTCAGCAGTGGGATGAGTTGTGGATTTTTACTGCTCACTTTTGAGTCAGATTGTGGGGCCAAGTGGAAGTCACACAATGGTGGCCCGTGTAGGGTGGGTTCTAAATCTAATCACTTCTGAGTTATAAAGAGAGATTAGACTCAGAAAGCAGCAGGCACAGGGGAAGACAGACACTATCTGACCACAGAAGCAGATGCATTGACAAGCCCAGCAACTCCAGAACTCCCGCTACTAAAAGTTGAAACAGGTAAAGAAGGACCTCCCTCTAGAGCCACACCCTGAATTTGGACTTCTAGCCTCCTGAACTGTGAGAAAATAAATTTCTGTTCTTTAAAGCTACCCACTTGTGGTATTTCTGCTACCGTAGCTCTAGGAAATTAAGACACCTTTTGACTCCGCTCTGCCTAATCCTTGTTTCAAAATAAGTAAGCAGTTCTCTTCTTTTTAGTTATCTATAAAACTGAAGAGAAATGTTCCCACTGAATGTTTGCATGGAAGGTATGTCCACTTCCTATCTGATTTCCTCTAACACTGTCGATAAGATAATAAAAATCACAAAAATTAGAGTGGTAAGTGGGGGACGGACACTCACAGCATGGCAATGCCCCAGTGCTTTCCCGCTCGCTCTCCTGCTGCCTGGAACCCCGAGAGGCCAATGAGGGCTACCGTGGGCGTGATGGTCAGCGGCCCGATGTACTTCAGCAGAGCCCCAGGCAGGCCTAGGAAGCCGATGACCACCTCTATCAGTGAGGACATGATGATGGCCCCTTGGATCTGGAACAAGAGATGGCAGAGATGTGAGGTAAGCTGCTTGTACATCAAACACACCAAGTGTCACCTACAACCACAATGGATAATTCTTCAGAGCAACAAGTTATTAAATTAACAGGCATGACACAGCTGGAAAATTCCCTGGGACCCCCACAAGAGATTCAGTGGGGGGTAACTGAGGCCTTATTCAACCAGTGTGACGTATCACAGAAATGGGGACTAAACACAAAGCCCACTTGCTTTTTCCACTGACAGAAATGATCCAGATATAATACATACTTCCCATTTAAAAAAACCTAACATTTTAGGGAAAGCTAGAGAAATGCTATAGTACAGGAACTCTTGACTTTTAAAGTGTGCACTCCTGCAGGGCATTTAAGAGAGAATGTTCCTGACAAAAATTCTAGAGGAATGTTTCTTACAAGTTTTGGAAGATATGGGTGAACCATCAGCCCGTGCTTCATGTCTAGGACAGTCACACACTGTTCTGCTAAAGTGTACTTTAATAGACAGACAGCTATAAGTCTTTCAACAGATAAAGGCAAACGCCAAGGCCAGAAAGAATAATTCTGCTGCTTGTCAACAGCCTCTGGGGTGCATGAGCCCTCAGCTAATTATAACGGAGGGGGTAAGCAGGCAGGTCTATGGGCGCACAGGGGGAAAGTAAAGAAAGGAGGAGGAAAAAGAAGGTGAGAAACCGTATTAGCTGGTCATGCAAAGCAGTTCCAAATGCTCTATTTTATAGTATGAGTAGTTATATGAGTGAAACTGTACCTAAACTTATAAACAGCAGAAATAAATGTGTCAGCACTTAGAAAAGAAGGCTTAGTAAAAGCCACTGCGATGGCTTGGCCACAGCCAACACTGAAGCTGAGAAGAAACACAGAGAAGCCACAAGCAGAACAATGCTCATCTTTTACCTCTCGTATCCGTGGATACCACACGTGCTCTGTGTGTAACAGTTCCGTTGTTCCGTTGGCAACTGAAATATCTTGAAAACAAAAACAAAAAGGAGATTGTTCTTGGAGCAACACTCATATTTCACAGGACATACTCATTTTACCCTTTAACAAGAATTTCCTCCCTGTTTTAAGCATAAGTGTATAAATACCCGTCCCTAAAATTCAAGTTACAACAGTACGGCTTACCATACTGAAAGGGAGATCCCCAACGCTAACTTAACCAATCGTCTTCACCGACAGAGAGAGCCCCACCTCGTCAAAAGTTGACTGAAGTGCTGACGCTCGTTACTCATACCAGCCTCACAAAAAAAAACCAACCTTGGTGAGCAACTAACTGAAATGCTGTATGAACTAGGTTGCCTGACTGAGGTTTTTAAAACCTAGATAAAACAAAGGGCCTTTTCCAGTTCCTAAATCAAGTAAATGGTCACAAAGTTAACTCCTAGGAGCAAGGAAGGAAATGAAGTCTGGGAGACTTTGCTCCTAGAAACCTAAAAACGTAATGGTCTTTTGAGAGTACAACAGGTTGGACTCTGATGTTCTCAAATTCCCTATCTTTTTCTGACCTCATTGGGGTTACTTAAGGATCTCTGCAATCACTAAAGGGGGTAGGGGGTGGGATGAAAGTCATCTGCAGGAAACCAAAGTAGCCAGATCCTTAAAAAGCAAAGATGTTTCAGAGAAGGGATGCTGACACAGCAAAGAGAGTGATTACAGGTGGTTCGTAAAATCCACTGGAAGAAAGAGGCAGAAAAAAATAGCCCAAATATTTCTCTATCCCGTTCCCATATTTGCCAATTTCATTAGCATAGAGAAACGAGGTCATTTCTGGTCCCTGCTTGCTCTAGGGCTAGAGATGAACGAGTGGATAGACAGAGAGAGAGAAACAATCCACAGGTTGGAGAGTTCTAAGCTGTTTGTTGGTTTGTATGTTCTGTGCCTAATTCCAGAAAGGATTTAACACTGCCAAGAGCAGCACGTCCAGGCCTCCCTTTTAGCACCTGCCCTAAAGGACCCCAATGACATATGTGGAAATAACTGCAATTACCTGTGGTGTTACATTTCCATTTATCTAAAGACAGGATGGCTCGAGCAGGGGCCAAAAATGCAAAAGCACTGGCCTGAAACAGGGGTAACCTAAAAGAAACGAGACCAAAACCATGATCACGGCATCGGGAACTACCGAGGTAGTTCACTATTTGACAGCTTAACAGTCTTTTCTATAGATACAGACCACATGAGTAAATGCAGACACACCTGGAGAAAAAGCCCCGACTGCAAAGACCTCCTGCACCGAGCAGCTACCCTCTGGCTTCTGGACCTTCCCCCGTGCTCCTCTCCTCCCAGGCCACTCCAGGGTAGGCACCAGAAATCCCTGTGGTCAGTGCTGGCACCCCAACACCAGCCCCTGCCACCACCACCTTTCCTCTTAAGGGTGGGGGGACATCAGGCATTCAGGGTTCCCCTCTTTCCTGTGGAGCTTGCGAGCTCCTTATTAAACATCAGTGTACATCACCTATTTTACCACCCTCCTCCTTTTCCCTTTCAAATTCTGACTGGTTATCAACTGAGGAAAAAAAAAAAAATCTCTCTCTCTGTCTGTTGCTCCATTTTGTAAGTAAAAATCTGCCCTCATCACGGAGGGTAAAACATTAAAATCACATTAGTGATCTATATCTATTGAGGAAAAGGAAAGCTGGAAGTTACAAAGCAACAGTAAGCATAATAAGCATTTCCCTTGATTATAAAAAAATACTCAAAGGTGCACTAACACTTTTATTAAAGGGCCCAGAAAGCCTGAAGATGCTCCATGACATTTCCTGCCGACACCCTCAAATGCTGCCATTCAATTATAGTTTAAATATTGCATACTGACTTTATGAACACTTCAGTTACTCAAATTCTAAAGATTTTGCCATTCTTTATTGGAATGTACAGCATTTCAGCTATAGTTGTATTAAGGTGGCTTTATGGGCTAATATGTGAACCCAACTGCTATTTTTAATGTTATTTTTGAGGTAAAATCTAAAACTGTCTCCTTCTGTTTGCTAGGCTGGGAGCTCCCAGACGTCCTGACGCCCCAAGCAGCCTTGTTGGCGTCCTGGCCAGTGGGACGGGAACCCAGCACCCTCCCCTCTGAGCTCTTGGGTAACAGGTCCTGCCTGCAGTGAAACAAGAACTGGACGGAAGGACAACCAGCCACTTCCCAAGTCCAGTGCCTGGCACAAGTCATTCTGAGCCAGACAAGGGTCAGGCTGCTTTGTTACAAATGCTCTCCCAGCCACTCTAATTATGCAATGAAATTAGTCGGGAGTGGGCAGGATGCTGGCTTTCCAGACACAGAGGCAGGCCACGCAGTGCAAACCAGATGCATTGCTGATGATCACTCCCAAGGGCAGGCCCTCTACCAACCGTCCACTTACAATTACCTGCCGGAGGGGCCCAGAGCATGGTGCCATCATAAGCAAAAGTGGAGGTCACCTGAAGTGAAAATGTACATCAAAGGGAAAACACCGTTTGACTGACAAAAATTCCTTCAACGCAGCAATTTTTATGAATGTACTGGAAGGGTAAAGGGAGGTCAGCATATGATTAGGCATGGAAGCCAGCTCCATGGTCCAAATAGCGTCTGTGTTACTATGGTTTCAGATTTCAAGCAATGCATCGTAGGACAATGCAATGTACTCCTGTTTGTATTTAGAGATCTTTCCCTTAGGGACATCACTGCATTGATGACTCATTGGATGTGGAAAAAGTAAAGACGGCTCTGGGTTCCACATCCGCTGACGTGAACTATTCTTGACCTCAGCCTGAACCTGAATGGCCCCTAGGTACTTTGATAGTTGAGTATTTTATGGCTCAACTATGACCAGTGGTACCAAAAGCACTGCTGCAAAGAAGCCCACTCACTTTCAAGATACTGGCGCCCTGGGTTCCTTGAAAGTGGGTGGTAATAGAAGATTCCCATGTGTCCTGTCCCCGTCAAGTCCCCTAAGGTGATCTGGGAGAGCTGCACGTGTAGCGTTGTGTGTTCACGTTCAGCCTTGCACAACCACCTGCCACAACCTCACATTCTCCAGCAGGAAGTGTGGTCTCTCTAACCGGCGGCGTCAATCAGGGCTTGACTGAAATATTCTTAGGGCAAGTTGCAACAAGGGTGTAGAACACTTTAAATGGGAACGTCCCTACATCAGAATCATTGAGGCCAATTTTCCTGAAGAAAAGAGGGAGGATGACAAAGCACTTGACAGCCATTTCTGATAATGTGGCTTTTTCAGGCACTTCCCAGCGTGAAGTTGGTCAACCCTATGGCTCTTTCCTACATAGCCACAGCACAACGCCCACCTCGGTGTCTCACACGCCTTCAGCACCCAATCCCAAATGAGGTTGTCTAAACCCCGGGCATGTAGGTCTCCTGAAGTAGACAAGACTACTTGGTCTTATATTTATTTATTTAGTTTTACTGATGTCTGGAAAGGAAGTAAATTAAATTATGCCTTTCTTTACACCAGGGGTTGGCAAACTGGCCCATGGGCCAAATCTGGCATGCTGCCTATTTTTGTAAATAAAGTTTTACTGAAATACAGCATACTTGTTTATTTACATATTGCCTATGGCTGTTTTTATGCTACCTCAGCAGAGGTGAGTAGTCTTCACAGAAATTGTATGGCTTGCAAAGCCTAGAATATTTACTATTTGACCTTTACAGAGAACGTTTGCTGATCTCTACAGGGAAAATATATTTTCCGTTTATAAGGAGGGGGTGAATCTTTGCAGGTGGCATTTTTTTTTTTTTTAAAGTTAACAATATCACTAGATAGTAATAAAAGAAATCTGAGTAGACGGGCAAATCTGTCATTCATGACACCATTACATGCCAGGCTCTAGTCACAGGATGGCTAAAGAACCTAATGGGCCCCAGACAAGTCCTTACTTGGTTCAAAACCCTCTTGGAGGCCCCCCATTTCCTCCTCAGTACCCAGGTGACCTGAACCCCACCCCAGCCTCCTCTCTCACCAGCCCCTCCCACACCCTCATTCCAGCCTAGCTCTCCTGGCTCCTGCCTCTGAGCCTCTGCTTATCTCTTCTGTCTCAATACCTTTCTAATGCCCAACTTTTACTCATCATCCAAGGCACAGAGAAAATATCACCTCTTCCAGGAAGTATTTCAGGATCACCTTCTCTTGTATCTATAACACACTCCCCTACAACCTAGGACTTTCTAGTTATGATTTCTGCAAGTCACCCCCAAGTTGCCAAGAAGCTGCATCAGGATTCCCTGGTGGGGTGGGGAGTGCTGGTTAAAAATAAAGATTTCTGCATCTCACCTAGTCCTAGTTCACCAGAATCTGGGGTGGTGCCACCAAATCTACATAATGAACAATCACTTGTGGGTGAGGCTGAGGCACCCCAAAGGTGACAACTCTGTGCTAGCTGAAGGGAGTTATCATTTTGGGCACTCGACAAACATTTCTTGGGTATCTGCTTGTCACAGGCACAAATGTAAACAGATACCAAGATGGAAAAAACCACCCCTGAGCCCTTGAGGGATTTCTGTTGTGTGAAGGAGACACTAACCATGGCCACATGTGAAGGTCACTGGTGTGGACAGCACCAGCACACTGTGGACTCTGCAGCAGTCACTTAAGCTAGTCTAAAGGATGAGAAGCACTCCACCAGGTATGCACAGGGTATGGGTAATCCAGGCAGAGGGAAGAACAGGAGCAAAATCAGTGTCACATGGCAAACCAAGGAATGCTGGGAGAAGTGCAGAGCCCTTGGTGTGGGGGATGCGTAGGGCATGTGCCAAAGGTGAGCAGAGACCAGAAGCCAAATGCCCTGCGTTCATCCTGTAGGCAAGAGGTCAACTACTAAGGACTTTGCTTTGAGAGAACCACTTTGGGGGAACTGGGAGAGGTGACCTTGTCCCCAAAGCTATTATCAGTCTTGAAGGAATCAAACCATAAAAGACATGCCACTACTTCTCCAATGCACATGGATCATTCTCCGGAACAGAGCATATATAAGGCAACAAAGCAAGCCTCAATAAACTGAAAAACATCGAAATGATACAAAGCAACTTCTCTGATCATAATGCTATAAAACTAGAAATCAGTAACAGAAAGAACAAGAAAAAAATCAAATACATGGAAACTGAATAACACCCTACTTAAAAACTACTGAGTAATACAAGAAATTAAAAATTAAATTAAAAAAATACGTAGAATCAAATGAGAATGAAAACACAACATACCAAAACCTTCCGAACACAGCAAAAGCAGTGCTCAAAGGACAATTTATAGCAATAAATGCACACATCAAAAAAAAAAACAGGAAAAGGGCCAAAATCAATAGCTTATCCCTACCACTCGAACAAATAGGAAAGGAGCAGCAAAAGAAGCCCACAATCACCAGAAAAAGGCAATAATAAAGATCAGAGCAGAAATAAATGAAATATTAAACAGAAAAACAATATAAAGAGTCAGCAAGACTAGAAGTTGGTTCTGAGGATTGATAAAATGGACACACTACTGGCCAAACTGACAAAGGAAAAAAATGAGAAGACACAAATAACCAAAATAAGAATTGAGATGGGTGATGTTACAACAGAACCAACTGAGATAAAAAGGATCACAACAGAATAGTATAAAAAACTGTACCCCCACAGGTTTGAAAACGTAGAAGAAATGGACAAATTTCTAGAAACACACTACCTACCTAAACCAACATAAACAGAGGCAGAAAATTTCAACACGCCCATAACAAAAGAAGAAATTGAAGATGTTATAAAAAAAAATTCTCAACAACAACAAAAAAAAACCCAGCCCAGATGGCTTCACTGGAGATTTCTACCAAACATTCAGAGAAGAGTTGATACCAATTCTATTCAAACTACTCCAGAACACAGAAAAGGAAGAAGTACTCCCTAATTCATTCTATGAAGCCAGAATAACCCCGAAACCAAAGCCAGGCAAAGACACCACTAAAAAAAGAAAATTACGGATCAATATCCATCAGGAATATAGATGTAAAAATTCTCAACAGAATTCAACAGCATGTCAAAAATAATAATAATGCATCATGATCAAGTGGGATTCATACCAGGGATGCAAGGATGGTTCAACTTTAGAAAATCA